ACAGGGGGGATGGGGGGGGGTGGGCTTGCACCTACTCACAGCAGCATTTTGGACCAACTAGAGATGCTTGTGGGAGGACTGGTTGACTCCAAGTAGTCATTCAGCTGAGATGTCATAAATCCTCTCTTGTTTATTGCAATACACATAATTTATTGCTTCTATTTGTTCAAGGATATTGGAAAAAATATGACATCCTAATTATTGAGGGGGAGGGGAATCAGTATTAGTAAGCCCGTATTAGCCTTTGGAAGGGCGAGTGGCTGTACAAAATCTGCGTGCGTCTGTCCTTTTGCGGTCCAGGGGATGCAGCACCAAATCGCCCACGTGGCAACGCAGATCGAAGCCGCGCGCCTGCTGACATACAACGCCGCTCGTCTGAAGGAAGCCGGCAGACCCTTCATCAAGGAGGCCTGCATGGCCAAATACTTTGCTGCAGAGGTGACGCCGCATACTCCTCAGAACATTAGTTGTTTTTTTTTTTTTTTTAAACTGTTGTTATATCAGGGCGTCCTATTGTGGAACCTGCAGTGTGAACTGTGGCCATTGGAAATGATGTCAATAGACCTTTTGTTCACCATAGAGGCATGCGCTTACTGTTGGAACTCACCGCAGACTCTCCAGCGTGCCGCTTTGCTCCCTCTTGCCCTGCATAATTTTGTCTTCTCTTCCTGTCATGTTCATTTTAGTCCTGTTTCTCTGATACTGTTTTGAGGATTCTGTGTGGCCACTGAATTTGATAAGATAAGATATCCTTTATCTGTCCCACACTGGGGAAATTTGGGCCAAAATGGTTGACTGTTGTTTTTGTCTCCCTCAGGTGGCAACGCTGACCACGTCTAAATGCATCGAATGGATGGGAGGGGTGGGCTTCACCAAAGACTACCCCATTGAGAAATACTACCGGGACTGTAAAATTGGTACGTGCGTGCACTATAACGCTGGTTATAGAGCGCAAAATATGAGCTGCGCACAGTACAACCAAAATGGAATTCTTGAATGGCTTCCTTCTGCAGGTACCATCTACGAGGGCACGACAAACATCCAGTTGTCCACGATGGCCAAATTCATCGATAAGGAGTATGACGTTTAATATCATACCGAAGTGGAGCCGGACAGATTGCACTCAAGAGACCGCCATGTTACACTCCCGATATCAATTCTTGCGTCTGTCGCATGACCTTGCCACAAAGGACTGTCCAGTCGCACCGCAACTGACTGTTACTTTGTCACTTGTAATGTCCCTTTTATGCAGTGCTGTTTTGTCACTTTGTACGGATTTTGCAATTATGATCACCCGGAAATGTCCGGTATCTCCCCAGCTAGTTGAGTGTCTTCCTTTGAGTGTTTCAGTGCCTTTGTCCCGCGCCCCAAGCTCAGTCACGTAAGTAGCGGTTAATTTGCAGTTTCTTTCAGAGATTGGAATTCAAGCAATATATATGGATCGAGCACGCATGACACCTTATTCTGTTCCAACAAGTCGGGGAGCTGTTACAAAAGGCTAAATTGTTCAGTGATGTCAGTGTGAGTTTAAATGGACCAGTAAGGAGCCAAAGCAGCAGGATGGAATTGCAAGGAGCAGCCAGATTTACCATTGCGTGGGGTCCGATGGGAACCGATTTATTAAAGTGTTCATTGGTTTCAAGCAAATGTGATTGCTTTCGTCTTGAATTCAGTTCACTCCAAAACACGTCAAACTTTCTTAATCATCGTTTCAAGTGATCCCTGTCCGAGGCAACGGACGACCCCCTTTTCTTCTCCTGCACACTTGAGTCAGGAAGGGGCGAGGGCAAGGAGCAAAATGTGCTGAGAGAGCTTGAAAAAGTACAAAAAAAAACAGTACCCGGCAGGGAAAATGTTTTCCGCTCCCTGTCTGAAGGTCTGTCTCGTTTGTGTCACTAGGTGGCAGCATCATCCTCTCGGTTCACTTCAAACTCGCAGCAGACGCCGAGCGCGACCTGTCGCCTCCAAAGGGCGACGTGCCAAGCTCATCATTGGCTGGTGCTCCACAACTCAAAAGAAAAGTAGATAAAAAGCTCATTGTGTTCAAGTTAATTCACACTCAGTCCGTTATCTGCATGTTTTAAGGATGCAATTGGATCGTTACACTGCTTATAAATGACTGCTTTATAAATATCACAGGACTTGATCGCAATATAATGAGCCTATTTATTGTCAGCCACATATTTAATGGCTGTCAAATCAGTGTTCATCAGAGCAATTTGCTTTGATTAGAATATGATGGACCGCTGTTTCTGACTAGAGATGCTGTTAAGGCGTTTGTCTTTCAAAAGCTCAATTTTGTCTCAGAATTACAAGACTGGCTTGATCAAAACCTCTTGAAGGCTGCATGTAGCCCACAGGCCTTCGGTTGCCTACCTCTGCTCTGACTGGATAAGTGGCTTCTGTCCCCCCTGAAGGGGGAAAAAAACCCTTTTCTATTTGTTTTGAGGTCTATTCTTGTCCGATTGCAGACTCAACGCCCATTTGCTCGCCGCTCTGGCCAATCACAAGGACCCAGTGTGTTTTAACTGGGCTGTCATTTTTATGTCATCATTACATCTCCATAAAGAACCAAGCCAGCACGTTTATTTCTCTCTGCAGAACCACTGAAAGCACATCTTTTTGGATACTTTCCCCCCCACCCCAAGATCACAGCTGTTTTCTTCAACTTTCAATTTTTGTATTTGATGGTGTGGAACTAAAAGGTGATGGCAGAGTCTGACGCGCAACAAGAGACGCGCCAGTCCGCCAAAGACTCCATCATCAAGTTTTCCATCAAGAACCTGCTCAGCATCGACGACCATCCCAAAAAGCCCGCCAGGCCCAGAAGCTTCCTGGACGGCGCCTTCTTCTCCCGACTTGCCGATTTGTCCCTACCCTGCCTGGAGTTGCCCTCACAGCGGCTTGCTCTGTCCTCAGCGTCCCCTTGGTGGCATCCCTACACGCTCGGTGCTCATCTCAAAACTGAAGGTATACATCATATTTCATTGAATTGTGAATTCATTCCCCAAAAAATAACAGAATAACTAAACTTTCCACATGTGGAACCCAAATGTGGGTTTTTTTGCTTGTGCACACGGGGGAAGGAAACCCCTTTTGGCTTCTATTTGGCACATCTATCTATCTATAAAATATCACCTTCCAAAAGAAGAAGCCTGGCATGACAATGGTGATATACTGAGGCATCGTTATTTATTGCTGGATTACAGTGCACTGCTTATGAGATTATAAAATAAGGAAACATTTACACATCCATTGCATGTTGTTCCCCTACAAAAGAATCGTTCAATAATGTCAGATTTTACAAGGGTAAAGATCTTAAAATGTATCGAGCATCAATGAATACATTGGTAAGAAGAACCCAGGTTTGTGTCTATTTCCAAATATTTTTTAGACAGAATACCATTTATTTTGATTAAAGATACATCATAATAATGATAACGACAACGGAATCAGAAGCACTTTGGTGATGACAAATGAAGTCTTGGCTTACTATATTAGTCATACATTAATATTTGATCAGGTGGATATATTTTCTCTTTTATATCCGTAATCGAAATTGCAGAGTTAAAAAAAATGCAAGACTGTTGAATGTGTACGTATAATTTCAAAAGTCTTACCTACGACGTGATCGATGCAGTGCGATGAGAATGAAATGGCTTGTATGAAGAAACAAATGAAATGTAAAGATGCAAATATGTCACAACATTCCATCGCTTAAAAATAACAATGTGCAATATTGCACACAAAACTACATGTGAAGACGCAATACGAATACCGCAACATTTTAAAGCAGTTTCGGTCTTGCATGATCATAACGAGGTGGTGGTGCATCTAACTTTGAGCAACTTGTTTTATGTTGGTTGGGGGGGAAGAAATTTAATCTGTGCTGTACGTTACACATCCATACATCTCATTTGACAATAAAGTTGTATTCAATTCAATTCAATTTATTGTGTTACTTTTGCAGCTTCAGGGAAGGATCAAGCGTTGGCGCGCGACAGACCTTCACCCGACCTCCCCAAAAGTGAGCCGGACCCCAAAGAAGAAAGCGCAGAAGAGGACGAGAGTGAGCCAGAGGAGGCAAAGAAGGACTCCGAGTCCGCAGAGGACCGCTGGAAAAAGAAACCCGACCACTCTGACGGGAAACCCTGCAGGAAAAAGAAGACCCGCACCGTGTTCTCCAGGAGCCAGGTGTTCCAGCTGGAGTCCACCTTCGACATCAAGCGCTACCTGAGCAGCTCGGAGCGCGCCGGCCTGGCCGCCTCCTTGCGCCTGACCGAGACTCAGGTGAAGATTTGGTTCCAGAACCGCAGGAACAAGTGGAAGAGGCAGCTGGCCGCCGAGCTGGAAGCGGCCAACCTGAACCACGCCGCGGCGCAGAGGATCGTGAGGGTACCCATCCTCTACCACGACAGCGGAGCTTCGGAGAGCAGCGGGAGTGCGGGGGGGACCTCGCCCGGCGGCCAGGCGTCAATCCTGGCCTTTTCTCATCACATGTACTACCCCCACCCGGTTCCCTTGCTGAGGCCCATTTAGCCCCTGAGCACACCTTGAATATGCTGTATGACTGGAAAAATACATTTGTATATTTTTCAATCTAAATTTTGGAGATTAGACGTATTCCTTTGTGCTCCTATCACACCCCGTTCGTTGACATTATTTGTTTTAGGCACAATCTCCATAATTGTCCTCAATTGCTTCAAAGTGTAAGTGCATATATTTTCATGTGCAAGGTTGGACATAACGTATTTTGAAGACTCTTAATTGTGCTTGTGGCGCTCTAAAATTGTGGGATTAAACATTTTGACATTACCTTACTTTTGCAGCTGTTTACAAGTCTCATGATGTCCAAAAAGCAACAACAAAGCTAGAAAACATTGTGATTCAACCAACTACGGAGCCAAATATGATTTGTTACTGAAATCTCGTATGAGTTCCCAGTAAAGATGAAAAAGTAACTTTAATGTATTCGTGATGTATTTTTTCAAAAGCGTGCGGGAATTTGATCACCAATTTCTTTTAATTCACCGAATGCCAACGATCATATCATCGTTCATGTTTTGCCCTTGTGTGCCTAATTTATACAGTCACTCCCCAACTGGACGAACGAGATATTAAATCTGTCACAGGTCATTTCTGTAGACTATACAGACCTAATGAGCATGCGCAAACCCGAGAGACCCCCTCCCCACCACCATTTTCCCGTCCGGTGTCACATGACCCACGTGGAGAGGTCGGAAGTACTCTCCGAATCAAACCAACCAATCAACAAGCAGGCGGGAAACGTGGGCATTTCGTTTCAGCCAATCAACAGCTACTTAACAATCGCTGGACCGCTTCACTCACCGATGCAGTTAGCGCGTTCAGTTCGACGAATATTTGTATGTTTGTTTGCGACATATTAAAAAAAAAACTCGACTCGAGCTGATAATAAATTGTTGTATTAGCTGTGGACCCCCTCCACCAGGATAAATGGTAAGTCCATAGTGACGACTCACCACTGCTACTAGCTTTAGCATTTATAACAGTCGGTTAGCTCCTGGCTCAGGCTAATTCCTGAATGCGCTTTACTGGGATGGGCGAGTTCTCCGATAGATAAATATCGCTTCATTCAACATGCAGTACGCTCATATTTGTCTGAATTAACTGTAACTTATCTGCTTTGTACTTAACCGAATAATTTTGGGGTTAAGCAAGTCGTTTGTGTATCATGTTACTGTTGTCGAGCTCGGCGATTAACATCAAATAAGAACTATTTCCCCCCCCTCTCAATCACTTCTTGAGAAAGACAATGGCATATAACGCCCTTCGGAGATTTGCTTCATGACAACACTGAAATAAAACAAGCTTTGAAACACTCTTTTCCGCCAGTCAACACCGGCCCGTGCGTCAACTTCCACTGAAATAAGGTTTTTTTTTGTACTCTTAAGGTAACAATACTGGATGCTAACGGTCAAGTCTGAAAAAAACATTATCCTTCATTAATATTGCCTATAAATGTTCCACCATTAAACATGATGCAATGAGCCGTCAAAACTGAGTTGCCGGGCCGGTTCGTGTATATTCTCTGTCGTTTCTCATGGAGAGTTGTACAGTTGAGGCAATGCAAATATTTGCTTCTTGGAATCACATAACACAGGCTCATAGTTATGTGGTTAATTCACTGATTTCGCAAACTTAAAAACACCCCCACCTCCTGTCACTGGCCATGTTTCTTGGAATTGTTGTTGAAATGTATTTTGATGTTCTCGGTTTCTTAGAGGTTATAAAACTAAATCATGCTGACAAAAGAATCACTATTTGAAGTGTGTCACCTGAGTTTGTGTTTTGCAGAGCATGGTCACGAGTGAATACAAACTGAACCAGGGCCCAGAAGATGGAATCACCGCGGTCAAGTTCAGTCCCAGCACCGCCCACTTCCTGCTGGTGTCCTCCTGGGACTGCACCGTCCGTCTCTACGACGTGGTGGCCAACACCATGCGCATGAAATATCAACACACGGCTCCCGTTCTGGATTGTGCTTTTTATGTATGTAGCAGGCTCCGTGTCATTTAAATATGTGTTGCCATAAGAACACAATGTCCATTTTTGCCCTCTGCCCCCCAACAGGACCCGACACATGCATGGAGTGGAGATCTGGATACAAATTTGAAAATGCATGACTTGAACACGGATCAAGGTATGTGCTAACCAAGGTTGTGATTGTTTGGGATTTTTTCAGATGAATAATTTCTCGACCACCACAAAAGTTCAGACGTTCTCGTCGGATTTTCCTGACATTTTTTTTCCCCGAGAAGATACCCGAAGGTTTTTTTTTGTAACGCCGGCCATGTAGGTTGTCGAAGTTTATATTGTGGTTTCTAATTTGGTTGCAGACACCATAGTGGGAAAGCACGACGCCGCCATCCGTTGTGTAGAACACTGCCCGGAGGTGAACGTCATGGTGACGGGGAGCTGGGACAGGTCAGTCCGACTCTGGGATCCCAGGGCGCCCTGCAACGCCGGCACCTTCACGCAACCGGATAGGGTATGTCGTCTAGGGATTCTTCAGGTGTTCCCAAAAAGTGCCCCAGTGTGTCTGACTCTGGATTCGCTCGTGTTCTTCAAAGGTGTACACCATGTCTGTAGCGGGCGACCGGCTGATTGTCTTGGGATTTTTTCAGATGAATAATTTCTCGACCACCCAAAAGTTCAGATGTTCTCGTCGGATTTTCCTGATAGTTTTTTTCCCCGAGAAGACACCCGAAGGTTGTCGAAGTTTATATTGTGGTTTCTAATTTGGTTGCAGACACCATAGTGGGAAAGCACGACGCCGCCATCCGTTGTGTAGAACACTGCCCGGAGGTGAACGTCATGGTGACGGGGAGCTGGGACAGGTCAGTCCGACTCTGGGATCCCAGGGCGCCCTGCAACGCCGGCACCTTCACGCAACCGGATAGGGTATGTCGTCTTGGGATTCTTCAGGTGTTCCCAAAAAGTGCCCCAGTGTGTCTGACTCTGGATTCGCTCGTGTTCTTCAAAGGTGTACACCATGTCTGTAGCGGGCGACCGGCTGATTGTCGGCACGGCGGGCAGACGTGTGCTGGTTTGGGACCTGAGAAACATGGGCTACGTCCAGCAGAGGCGTGAGTCCAGTCTCAAGTTTCAGACCCGCTGCATCCGAGCCTTCCCCAACAAGCAGGTATGGCCCAGGAAAACCTTCGACTCGCGTCTTGGTCTGTCGTAGTACAAAGACTGACGTGTGAGAGACGGTATGGTGCCTTCTATTGAAATGAATGCTGCGGTCTACCAAATCAAAACCTGATCTGAGACCCTGCAGTACCAACGCGAGATTGCTTTAAAATCTTGACAAGGGCAGTCTGTTTTTTTGTTTTTAACCTGAAAACTGGACTGATACTTTTCACAAATATTACAATTGTCAAAAAAAATCATTGAGTTGATCAAAAGCTTCTTTATTTTTTTCCCTTCAAACATTTTGCCTAAAAACGTTAAGTTTGATAGTTGTCAAGATCTAAATTGCTCTCCTTCACAAAGGGGGCAGCAACCAAGGTGGCCATCCGAAGAGAGCAATTTCGCATGTTTCCAACCGTAGCTCACATTGCTGTCGCCACGGCACGGCGGGCAGACGTGTGCTGGTTTGGGACCTGAGAAACATGGGCTACGTCCAGCAGAGGCGTGAGTCCAGTCTCAAGTTTCAGACCCGCTGCATCCGAGCCTTCCCCAACAAGCAGGTATGGCCCAGATCTTCGACTCGCGTCTTGGTCTGTCGTAGTACCAAGACTGACGTGTGAGAGACGGCATGGTGCCTTTGATTGAAATGAATGCTGCGGTCTACCAAATCAAAACCTGATCTGAGACCCTGCAGTACCAACGCGAGATTGCTTTAAAATCTTGACAAGGGCAGTCTGTTTTTTTGTTTTTAACCTTAAAACTGGACTGATGCTTTTCACAAATATTACAGTTGTCAAAAAAAATCATTGAGTTGATCAAAAGCTACTTCATTTTTTTTCCCTTACAACATTTTGCTTAAAAACGTTAAGTTTGATCGTTGTCAAGACCTAAATTGCTCTCCTTCACAAAGAGGGCTGACCACGGCTGATTTGAATGCAGTCGCCAAGGTGGCCATCCGAAGAGAGCAATTTCGCATGTTTCCAACCGTAGCTCACATTGCTGTCGCCAACTTTTCTCCCTGCCTGCAGGGCTACGTCTTGAGCTCCATCGAGGGCCGCGTGGCCGTGGAGTACCTGGACCCGAGCGTGGAGGTCCAGAAGAAGAAGTACGCCTTCAAGTGCCACCGGCTGAAGGACGTCGTTGAGCAAGTCTACCCCGTCAACGCCATCTCCTTTCACAGCGTGCACAACACCTTTGCAACGGGTACGTCGCCCTGGTCGGCCCCGGGCAAGACTCGGCTTCTAAATTGACAGCCCTCTTGAATGCACGGTGGTGCCTTGACTTGTGCGTGAAAGGCTTCGACAGCCCAAATAATGACGACGTCGATCAATCCTTCTCCCTTCTTTCCTTCCAGGCGGCTCTGACGGCTTTGTTAACATTTGGGACCCGTTCAACAAGAAGCGCCTGTGCCAGTTCCACCGCTATCCCACCAGCATCGCGTCTTTGGCCTTCAACAGCGACGGCGGCCTGATCGCCATCGCCGCTTCCTACATGCACGAGATGGGCGACATCAGCCACCCGGAAGACGCCGCATACATCCGCCAGGTCACAGACGCCGAGACCAAGCCCAAGTGAGTCCTTGCCACCTTTTTGGCGACGCTCCTCTCTGCCGTCATATGTCCAGGATGACAAACGGCTGAAAATTGTTCAGTCGTATGACTAAGGTGACCGACCGCGCACAAACGCCCTCACGTCGAGTTTAACTTTGTTCGGTCACCTCTGCGTTTCAAAGCCTTTACCCAACGGCATCCAGTCTAACTTTTATTCCACGTCTTTGTATTTCTGTCACCCAGTTGTTAGGCTTGCTCTTTTTGTGATCTTCTGTTGTTTGTTCGACTGTCGTCATCTCTTCATTAAAGACATTTTGAATACGTTTTCTGTGGGTTACTTTGAGGTCTCCTCTCTGGTATGTGTAGTGCTCCCTCGGCTTCACCCAGACGGTGGCCCGACGCAGATAAGACAGCGGCGGACTAAACCAGATCCCGCTTTATTGGCGAGGAAGTAATCGCGGCGGTCTGCGTCCGGTAGGCCGGCTAGCAGAGCAACTCGCACCAAAAATGATGACGATGCTTCATTCGAGATCATCGAGATACAGAACAAAATGGGTACGCCAGCCAATTTCTTCCTCCTTCAGTTTGGATTTTCA